CTTCCAGGAAATCCAGGAAGCTCAGAAAGTCCCAAAGAAGTTGGACCCAAGAAGAAACACACCAAGGCACATCATCATTACATTAGCCAAGATTCAAATGAAGGAGAGAATCCTAGAAGCAGCAAGAGATAAGGGAACAGTCACCTACAAAGGAGTTCCTATCAGACTGTCAGCAGATTTCTCAAAAGACACCTTCCAGGCAAGAAGGGGCTGGAAAGAAGTATTCCAAGTCATGAAATCCAAAGACCTACAACCAAGATTGCTCTATCCAGCAAAACTTTCATTTAGAATGGAAGGGCAGATAAAGTGCTTCTCAGATAAGATCAAATTCAAGGAGTTCATCATCACCAAGCCCTTATTATATGAAATGTTAAAGGGACTTACCTAAGAAAAAGAAGTTAAAAAAACATGAACAGTGAAAGGACAGCAAACTCACAGTTATTAACAACCACACCTAAAACAAAAGCAAACTAAAAGGACAGCTAGATCAGGAGCAGAAACATAGAAATGAAGATCTCAAGGAGGGTTAGCAATAGTGGAGTGGGAGGAGGAGAAGGGGAGAGAAGGTAGAGAAAATAAGTAGCATAGACAGTAGATAGAAAATAGATGGGGGGGCAAGAATAGTATGGGAAATATAGAATCTAAAGAACTTGAGACACATGTTCATAAACTAAAGGGGGGGTAATGGTGGGGACGGGGGTGTGAAGGGTGGAGGGGAATGAAGGTGGGAATAGAACAACTGTAATGGCATAATCAATAAAAAAAGAAAAAAAAATCTCACAAGTGGAAAGCAAAATAAGTCAATTGTGCATAATATTTCAAACATATTTGATGATTCTTACTGTTCTAAGAAAAACTAGTTAGTCTTCTCAATGCATTCTCAAACATCAGTTAATTTTAAAACTCTGAATAAATTAACTGTAAGAGTTGTAATATAAAAAAGACTAAAGGAGGTAGATACACTCAGTAAAAAAGTCATAACCTATACTTGCAAAAAATGACTTGAAGATGATGGACCATGAATGATATTAGTTGCAAAAATGCTTTTCATTGTATGGGGAAAGCTTCAATGACAAAACTGTAAGTTACCAAGTAGACTATTCCTCTTACTATTAATTAAAGAACTTACAGGAACTAATTAGAGAATTTTGTCCTACCTTCTAAACATAATGTTCTTTTGCACAGGTCTAAAAGTAGGAAAGATAAAGCAAGATGTTCTTTGTGTGGATACAAAAGTTTCATTTTCTTAAAAAAAAAGTACTACATTGTAATAAGAATGCTTGCCAAGAGCATTCAAATGTGACATATATTCATTGTAAGAGAGGTATGTAATTAGATGATGCTTTTTTTTGCATTTTTCTAAGCATATTCTTATTAAAATTTCTAATAAGGTGTCTGACATTATCCCTTTATACTTCTGTATATCATATAAAATTATAGAAAATAATTTAAAATGTTAAAAAATAAAATAGTTCCTTTCATTATAGATGATAAAAGGCAATAACTATTTTTCATGGTATTCTGAATGTTAAAAGAATCCTTAAAAAGAAAATTGCTTTGTAGAAATAAATAAAAATTCTAAACAAACATTTTTGGTAGTTAAATTGTCATTTATATATTTTTAAAAAACTTAACTGAAAACTCAAATATTTTTGAGTCCTCTGAAGCAGGAAAAGATAAATTGTTTGGGGTAATATATTTAATTAAATATTTATTTAATGTAATAAGTATTAATTTATTTAATATTTATTTTTAAATATATTAAATATTTTTCATCTTTCCAAAGTTATTTTTGAAATAACAAGTTATGTCATCAATAATATCTAATTTCCTATCACCTAAAACTCTGGTTTACCTTATACTTACAAAAATTGCTTTTCCATTTAGGTACATCCCCTGCCCAATTCATACAGAAAAAACAACAACAACAAACAATCTTGGTATGATTCTAAATGTTCTCTTGAATAAAGAAAACAAGTAAATGTGGGAGAGGAAGGCACAAATTTATTTATTCCTTTCCTTTGCCCTCCTCTCCCCTACTAGCACTGCCAATGCTGAGCAGTAAAACACTGGACCAAAGAAGCAGGACTGGATTACATAGCCTAACTGGAAAAGAATGGATTGAAGTGGGAATGTTGAGATTTGTGGCCCTCCAACACCCAACTACCTCAGAACTTTTCTATTTATTCCAGCTCACTATTTATTTGTATAAGGATGCTAAGCAGATTTTCAAAGACCATCTTTCTGACATCTATTTTCTGCTTCTTCTCCCCTAACTATCCCAGGCTCTGATGCAACATTCCAAGATCCCCAAACTTCATGTTACTCCTATCCTCCAAATTTGCTCCCCTCCTTTACCCTGAAACACCCATTTCAAAAGGACTGCTCCCAATATGTCATATCAGATTACTGCAGATAAATTCATACCAAATAGAAAGGATAAAATATTACCCCATAGATTACAATGCTCCTTGACTTACAATGAGGTTACATCCCAAATTGAAAAATACCCTAACCAGAGGTATCCAACCTTTTGGCATCTCTGTGCCACACCGAAAGAAGAGATGTCTTGGGCCACACATTAAATATAATTGCAACATGTATCACAAAAAAATCTCATAATGTTTCAAGTAAATTTGTGATTTTGTGTTGGGCCAAATTCACAGCCATCTGGGCTGCATGTGGCCTGCCAGCCACAGGCTGGACATCCCTGTGCCTAAGTCAAAAATGAATTTAGTACACCTAATCTACCAAACATACTAGTTTAGCCTAGCTTACCTTAAATGTGGCTTGGAACACTCATGCCACTAGGCTATCTGCCAAAAGGCCCTAACATCACCTAATACATCACAAGTTAGGAGATATAACTATGTTGCGAGTTATACTTGTTTCCACAAACTAAAAAGGACTGCTAACCACAAATTAAGAGGGCAGAGAACAAAGACCAAAATGGTGACAGGACACTGTGTGCAAAAGGACTGAAGTGCAACACAGTAACTATGTGTATCTGAAAGAATTAAATCACTCTCACACCACACCCTCTAAGAATAGAAGGCTCTCTACCAGTGGGGGAGAGATGCCGTTAGAGCATAAGCTCACCCTTCTCAATTCCATGATCACATCAAGTTCCTGCTCTGCTTTGTGAAACTCCGTCTCCTACTGATGTGAACTAAACCTTGGTTTAAGTACCTGACTTAGAAGGGTCTGCAACACAATCACCTAGAGTTGGGCAAAACCATTCGGCTGCCACAATCCAGCATCATGAGAAAATATCAAACCGTCTATCACTAACCCAAGAAAAGATCAAAATTTAAATTCAAAGTACAGTTTCTACTGAACGTATACTGCTTTTGAACTATAGTAAAGTTGAAAAATCATTTTCTTGAACCACCCTAGGTCAGGGACCAACTGTACTTGCTAACTGCAAAAGGAAAATCCTTACGATGAAGAGGCTATCATCACCGCCTTATCCAACAGATCAAATTTAAGATTCCTAATAGGATAACCCCACTTTACACACCTTCTGATATATAATGTAAAATACACTGTATGATGTAGATAAACCCAAAGAGAAGGAAACTGTCAAAAAAAAAAAAACAAACCCAGAATGTAGATTCTTTTTTTTAATCCTCACCTGAGACTTTTTTAAAATTGATTCTGGGGAGAGGAGGGGAAAGGGAAAGAGAAATATCGATGTTAGGGAGCGACATCATTCAGCCGTCTCCTGTACTGCCCCAACTGTGCCCCAACCGGGAATGGAATTGGCAACCTGGTTATGCCCTGATGGGGAATCAAACCCACAACCTTTTGATGCTCCAACCAACTAACCCACCAGACCAGGGACAGAATGTAGGTTATTCTACAAGATCACTGGCCTAGTGTCTTCAAAAGGTCAATGTTGTCACACACAAAAAAAGTTGGGTACACCACTAAATTAAAAAAAATTAAAAGAAACTAACACAAACAAATGTAATGCATGATTGGATACTGGTTCCAAAATAAACGATTAAAAAGGACATCTGGGGGACCACAAGAAAAGTGTGAATATAGATTGTACGAATTCTTAACTTTAAGCATGATTATGGTACTGCAGTTATACGGAAAACTGGCCTTAATATTATAATATACATACTGACATACACAGTATACTTAGGTATGAACTGTCATAGTATCTTCAATAGACTCTGAGAATGTTCACTTTAAGAGAATGTGAAACAGGTAGAAAAGGCAAAATGGTAACAACCATTAACATTATGCGCTATTCAACTTTTCGACGTTTGGGAAAAAACTAACATGAAAAATAAAAATAGGTTGAAAGGTTCAGAAATGAATTCTTAAAAATAACGATGTAAAAGAAGTAAGGGGCAAGGGTGGTGTATCTTAAATTCGGGAGGGAAGCCTCCTTGCTTCTTCCCCACACCCACCACACTCTCTTAAAAACACAACATAATGTAGCGAACTGAGCACTGAATGCAGACTCTGAAGATCTAAGGCTCCAGAAATGGCTCGATCACGGCCCGGCCATAACCTCAGTAAAGAACTTTCCCCAGGCTCTTCCCTCACTTTCACAAAGACCACTGCAAAAGCGGTTTTGCGGTACAAATCCACGGGTATCGATGGCAAATAAAAAAACAAAATACAACTGTGAGAGGGTTTGCACTGATGTTTTAGAACATCCAAAGCACACGGCCCTCGGTTCTGCAAACCAGGGCCTTCCACCCGCGCGGTTGCTGGGAGACGCCGGAGTCAGCAGCGACGCCCCGACGCAGGGCACCTTACAAACGCCCAGAGGCGGCTTAGGTACTTCGAAACTCTCCTCCTCTGCCTCGGTGTTCTGTTTAATGGCACTAAAAGACATGACATTCTTAAGACCCAGTCCAAACCTGAAAACCATAAATAAATAAATATATAAATCCTAAGTACGCAGAATTTTCAAAGAACTCTTCGCCAGGAGAACCCCGTGAACGAAGGTTTCCAAGGGCTCACAGAAGCGGACTCACTTTGACATTTCTCCTCTAGCAGATTTTTCTTTACAGCGTTAAAACTTGAGGCAAGGAGAGCAGGATAAAACCTCCAAGTGAGATCATTCTTTCCGTCTCACTAAATGAAGCCTGAAAGCTCCGTTCGAAAACTGTCTCCCCGTCCACGTTTCCCCTCAAGGCCGTGCCTCTGGAGACAATAAAGCGGAACGAGTAGAACAGAGCAGGGAAGTCCCTCTGACGGGACAAGGGTGTGCGCCCGCCGGGGCTGGTCACCTGGGCCGGGGGCCCTGGGCTCTGCGCTCTCCCCCGCCTGAGAGTCCGGAACCGCCAGTGGTCTCTGCCTACCACGGAGGAGACTCCGGACAGAGCTGTTGTGAGAGGAGCACGGTCTCCGCCAAACATCTGCACAAAATGTACGGGAAGACCAAAGGGAGATGGCTCCAGAGACAAAAGCCAAAGCATGCTGAGGGTCACAGGCGCAGAGGCCTTGGGCAGTGAGGAGGAGAAGGGCGGTGGAAAAGACGCAGGAGCAGGCGACAGGCGGGCTGTGCGGCCCGGCCGCAGCCGGGAGCTGGCGGCCGCGTCAAGGCGCGATCCCTCCCACGCCAAGGCCAGCGCAAGATGGCGGGCACACCGCCGCCGCCTAGCAGCTGGTCCCCTCCCCCGCTCCCCGGGCGCTCTTGGCGACCCGCGCCGGCCTCAACAGCCCCAGCCCAGCGCCCCCGGAATGAGGCGGCGCAGGCCGCGCGGGAGGGCCTCTGCCTGCTGCAGCGCGGGGCGGGTGGGGGCGGGGGGCGCTTACCGTGAACGGAGCGGATCGGCCTGACTGGGGCCCTGAGGAGGAGGAGAAAGAGGAGGAGGAAAAGGAGGAGCAGGAAAACCTACACCGCAGCAACGGTGGAGGCTCCCATTGCAGACCAGGCAGCTGAGCAGAGGGAAGAGGGGTGGGGGCGGGGGATGCTCCTGTAGCCCGCGCACTGCTTCCTGGGTAGAATCCGGGTCAGTCCCCGTATCTCCGGGCTCCCTTTCTTCCCGCGGACCCTGGGAGTCGGATTGGGCATGTGCTACTTTTCGCAGGCCGTCGAATGCTGCGGAGCCCAGCCACTCACCCGCAGCAAGGGCCCGGGCCAGGTTCTGCGCGATTGTGCGACTGTGCGTGCTTACCTGGCTGATCTGCAGCAGCCCAGGGCAGCAATACTCAAATCCGGGATCTACGGGCTGCACGGAATCCGAAGGCTTGAACCTGAGTTGCAGGGCTTTGCTATGTGAAATAGCTAGTTCGCAGGTGTGGAAGGTAAGAAGGTCTTTGGAAGAAAGACACCACTGAAGTGGAACACTGTGCGTTAGGCGGGAAGAGAAACTAGGTAAGAAGAAGCAGTAAGGTTCTTTTAATAATTTGCTAGTTTTTCCAAGTTTGTTTCAAACAGACGATTTTGCCCGTGTTTCCTTTAATTCTTGACTGCCATAGGGTGCCTGTAATAATGACAACAATAAAGTTAAGATAAATGCGATTACAATGACACTTGTCCGGATACTGCTTGCATAAATGCTTATATAAACACTGTATTCTGACCTGTAAGGAAAGGTTCCTCTTCCAGTTGTCCTCACAATATCAATGGCAATAATGGTCCAGCTCTCAAAAGTGATCTGGATTTGAAATCTTGCCTTTTGTTAGATTCTTAACACACCTACCATCACTGCACACAGCATTCAGTCACTGAATTGCGCCATTATTCCTGCCTATTGGAATTAGTTTCTTATTCCCCATTCTGACTGCTCCAAGCTCTTCTCCGTTGTTCATCGTTATAGTTGCTTCCTTACTGATTACCACTCCCAGATCAATCTTCCCCAAAGGCCACTTTCATTACCCCTAGAGGCCTGGCATGGCTACAAATAACCATGACCTCTTTTCCCAGCTGGGCCAAGGATGGTCCACGCAGCTTTCCCTTTCTGGCTTGCCTTGAAAATAAGTTTTATAGCAAAAGACAGAGAAAATCAAAATAACAAACATGGAAAGCTAAACATTCAAAAATGTTGGTGCATTCTTAAGTCATTATATTTCAGATGTAACTCCCAATGGTTAGCAAAGCCTATGAGTATGAAAGTAAATTTAAGATTTCACACTGTGTTTTGGAGTCTGGTCATCAGTTTGCAGAGACAGAAACTTGAAGTAATTAGCCCCCAGAGCTAGTTTAAATCCAGGGGTATGATTCATTCATGCTGCCAAAGTTACTAGAGACCAATAAATAAACCCAAATTCCAATTTATTCCTTTTTTTTCCATGAAAAAACATAACCGCCATGAAGACCAGAAAACTCTGGTCAACACATTTGCACTCAAAAGGACCATTTACCTGAGAAGCCAAATTATAAAGGATGCCTGCTGAGTATGAAATCAACACACAGGAAATAATTTGGATGATTTATTTGACTACCCTATCCTTAAGCTTCCTCCCTTGTCTTCTAGAACACAACTCTCTTGGTTCTCTTGCCTTACCATCCACACCTTCCCATCATTTTTCAGAGCTTCTTGCCTCTGATTTGTATTGCCTGGCCCTTTCCATTCCTTCCTCACTGTCTGAGTCCCCTCATAGTATTCATTCTCCTTGAGATCATGTTCCACTGTTCCCTGACTAAAATTGATATAGGTTATTTCCCAGCTTTCATACCACAACTTCTGTTTTGTTCACTCATGCAATTTGGGTGGAATAATCACCCTGAACTCCCAAGAATGATCCCACTAAAGCAATAAGAAATCACCCCTTCTTCCCTTTGAACCAGTTTTTGTTTCAGAAGCCAATCAGAGTGAAGCACAGGATTTTTGCTTGTGGGCAAAAGTGAAGTTCTTTCTTTCTCTGGATGATATGGTGTTCAAATGTAAATACTGGAAGAGCTACATCTTTTTTCTTTTCTGCTAAGGAGAGCCAACTGAGAATAAGACTAACATGTGGCAGAGAAAGAGCTGAGTAAATCAATCATAGGGAAAGAAAGTCAATCCCTGAGAACATAAACTCAAGGGATTGACTTTCCAATCAAAATCAAACCTGAACCCATGCTACCTTTAGACCTCCATTATATGAGCCAATAAATTCACTCACTGTTTAAGCTGAAGGAGTCCAGAATAAGCCACTATAGCATAAAAATTATTTTTAGCTGAAGGCATTTGAATCCCTGAAATCTCTCATCTGCCTTAGAGGCAGAGCCTCCCCACCCAAGAAAAGGTGGGGAGCACAGGGCAGGTTGGGCTGGGATGGGAGAAATAGACAGAAAACTGTACTTGAAAAATAAGTAAATAAAAAAAAACCCACACACCTCAATTATCCTAAATCTCCTAGGGAACAACCAGGAAAGATTGATTCTTACCTCTAGAGATAAGGAGAATTGTCACCACACTTAAGCAGACATTATCACAAAACTTATCATACCTCCAATTTATTCTAAGGGCATATTTATTTTTCCTAAAAGTTACTCGTTTTCCCATAAGTGCCCTCTTTCCCCCTAATGCTTTTTTTTCAGTGTCCTTTTATTTCCCTTCCCCTTTCACCTGTGGAAAGGATATAGAAGCCACAGATTCTAGTCACCCCTGCGAGTCACATTTCTTTATGAACTCCCCTATATAGTATGTGATTCAAATATCTTTTCTCTTGCTAGTCTGTCTTTTGTCAGTTTAATTCACAGGCCCCCCAAAACTGTATCTAAGAAGGTAGAGAAAAAGATTTTCCCTCCTGACAAAGGCGGTTTGAGTTGGGTTTTCTGTCACCTGCAATTGAAAGCAATTGTGATGGAGACAAGGGTAAATATTCACCATCTTATTTTCTTTTTATGTGCTCAGGAAACCCACATTTCCTAGCTTCCTTACTTTTACATCAGGCCATGTTGCCATTTGAGGCCAGTGGAATGCAGAGAGAAGCAGTGATTGCCCAATCTAAGCCTGATCCTTAAAATTTCCAGTGATGTATAGTTCCTTTTTGGTGTGTACATATGAGTCTGCCAAACACAGAAAACTCTCAGGAGCTAAAGGATGGCAGCACCATGAGACATGAGAGCGGGGGTTTGGGGGGAAGTGGAGAGGGGTAAATGCAGACAACTGTACTTGAACAATAATAAAACAATTTTTAAAAAAAGGACCCTGGGGTTCTTAATAATGGTATGTACATATCCTCCACACTCATTGGACTGGTGAGAGGAAAATATAAACCTTTATTGGGTTATAACACTGAGTTTGAGGGTTGTTATGTCAATGTAAGAAACGTCCAAACCTGTAGAGAATTTTTATAAACTTATTTGAGCCAACCTGACCAATGGGGAGCAAGAGCTCAAATACTCCAGAGAAAAACAGTTTTGCAGCTTCTTTTATGCATTTGAAATTTAGAAGGCAACTATGGAGATGGGAAAACACAAGGCAAGACTTGAATTATAAGATAGTTAACATGATTATGTGCTTTCTTTGGGGTGATTATTTCAAAGGTGTGTTAACCCAAATCCACAGAAACAATGCAGAGGGCTTGTTTAAGGCAAAGATGAACCTTTTACTAAGTAAGTTATGTGCCTAGAGCATGACCACCTACCATGACCTGCCCAGTTAGGAATTTATGATCAGGTTGTGCTGTGAGGTCATTTTCCTTTTTTCATCCACTGTTACAATAGCTACAATCACTAACCCTAATTAATAATAGAAGTAGTGGACTATTATAACAAAAAATCTAAAATATATGGCATTGGTTTAACACAGCAGTCATGTAGGAATTAAGGAAACATAGTAGGCGGGATAACTGAAGATTCATATTCAAATCAAATTGAAGATTTGACTATACTGTTGCCTATAATACATTAGAAGGCAGATCAGTACAAGTACATAATTTGTATTTTTAAGAGAAGGGAAGAATTCAGAAAGCAATATTAACAGTGGGTATTGGTGATTTTTTTATGTGATTAGCAAGGTATTACCAGAAAGATTAGCATAGAATAAAATTAACTGGTTTACAAAAAGAATGAAAAGGAAATAGAGAAAGTCGCACATTTGGTGGCTTTGCAGTGTTAGAAAACACATTACTTCCAAAGAGGAAGAGAAAAGGCTTTGAGGGGGAAAAAAAAAGCCCAAGTAGGACCCTGGCCAGGTGGCTCAGTTGGTTGAAGAGTCATCCTGTACAGCAAAAGGTTACAGGTTCAATCCCTAGTAAGAGTGCATACAGGAGGCAACCGATCAATGTTCCTCTCTCAGATCAATGTTTCTCTCTCTCTCTCCCTCCCTTCCTTTTTCTCTAAAAATCAATGTAAAAACCATATCCTCAGGTGAGGATTTTTTAAAAAAAGCCCTAGTAGGACTTGAACAAACTGACTCTGCCGTTAGGAAAAGATCAGATTACAAATGTATCAAGTAGCCTCAAAGTAGCAGCTATCATTTCCCGCCCCCAGCTTTATTGAGCTATGACTAGCCAATAAATTTGTATACACTTAAAGTATGCACCTTGATGATTTGATGTACATATCCACTGTCAAATGACTACCACAATCAAGTTAATCATTTCACATACGGTAGTTAGTGTGTGAGTCCTTGTCTGTCTGTGTGTTGTGAGAAAGCTTAAAATCTACTCTTAGCAAATTTCAAATATACAGTACAGTATTATGCCTCAGATACTCAGAACTTAGCCATCTTACAATTGAAAGCTTGTACCCTTTGACCAGCGTATCCCCAAAGTAGCAGCTGTTAAATTGAGAGAGATTTGGTAGAGAAAGTAGAGAAATAAAGCAGCTTTTAGCACTATATCTGCAGAGGGAATATTGTTGGTGCTTCAACCATTACTGTTGGCTATTTTTACAACTTTTTTTCGGTGCTCCTGTTGCACCAAATTTTACTCTGATTTTACATCCAAGAACCAGGATGTGCAGCTCTTTTTCAGAGGACTATACACTTAGGCTAGTGGAGCCACTTTGCCAGCCTTCACAGATACTGGAAGTATCTGGGAATTTATTATACATGCCCTTAGGGCCAGCTTTTAACCAAGGACTGATAAATGCAGGAGTGTGACAGTCCTAATTCCCCTGACTTAAGTGAGAACAACTATGAGGCATAATTTACACTGCAGAATTCCCCTACAGGGTCAGGCTGAAACTACCCTCTGGCTTCTGTCTAAAGTCGTACGTGAGCTTATGTGAATATTAAGCTATTTCCCCAGCTCCAAAGCCACCCTTCATAACTCAGCTTTGTGATGCTTATGTCTGGGAATCTTCAAACCAATTTTTTGTTTTGCCAGCTGCTCCCTGTTCTGTTCCACTAATAGAGAATACTAAAGGGAAACTGCAAGGCTGAAAGAGGGAAAAAGGATCGCTCCTTCCTGTTTACTTCTAGTTGGTTTATGTTCTTA